AAATTTCATTTGTATGTTTTTTTGTTCGTAAATTGTAGAAACAAAATAAATTCCACAAAAACAAAAAAGAAGAAACAAACACAAAAGAAAGAGACAACCAATCACAACACAAAAATATAAGTGGTTCGACAACGTGCCTACATCTACGGGAGATGAGAGCTTCTTTACTGGCAATGGAGAATAGGGTTCTAATAGTTCTCTTTTCCTCACGCATATATGTTATCTGATTACAAAGAAATCAACGTTTTTCCCTTAACCCTAAAAAGAACCTCATCGCTACAATATATACAGTCCCGTACAAATTAGCAAAATACCCATGTACGGATATATATTGAGTCATAGATAAATAGTACAAATTATCAAAATACTTTTGTACGGATATTCAAAATTTTTTTCGGAGGCTACAGCCCCCGAACCCCCGTAAAAGTCAAGTCAAGCGAGTCTACCTACACCAAACACTCTTTCAAATCTTAAGCCAGTCAGGCCTTTGGCCCTTTGAAATTATCCTTTTGACTCTATCTTGATAGATCTATTTCTACAAAATACAAAATATCAATCCTCACACATAAATGACATCAAAATATCTAGGAATGATAGAAAGCTAGATGGTCAAGGCGGCAGAATGCCACAGTATAGCTTTTTCGGGTTTCATGTTATCTAACCCTTCCACTAAATTACCCCCAAGGAAACATAAATAAATAAAAATCAAAACATGTGAGTGGGTGTCCTCTTTCCCATTGAAAGTCATGTGGACCAATATCTTGAAAGGTAAAATGGATGGTTTTGGTGCAACCAAAACCCATGAGAAAATCACACCTCCTTTCCTATTCTTTCTCCTTGCTATAGAAGGCATGGATGTTAGCATAGACTTTCACTCCCTTGTTTGTTTTTTCAAATAATAAGTTGTTTTTTGGGGCCCATTTCACTCAGCTCCTTTAGAAGTCAGGTCCGGTCCCACCTAGTCGCCTAAGCCAGCCACCCATTAGCAATATGAATGCAACAATTCTCTCGGTTTTCTCTAACTTGTCCATGAACTTGTAGCCAATGATAAACATCCAGTGGAAAAAAATGGCATTGAGAGAGAGACACATCACACATAGAGCCTATGAAATATATATGTGTGTGGGTGTCGTTTTTACATGGCCTTGCCCTTACGAAAAGAAAAAGACTAAAGCCTCACCTCGAAACCTTGCCTTGGAAATACTTTCGGGAAATCTCTATGATGATATTAAAGTCAATTTTTACCACCGATTATGAAACTTGTAGCTAAAAAAAAGTACAAATCATGTGGACCTTTGAGCACTTGAAAATTATCAGTCTAGATAATACGTTATGGTATACACTTTTTTTAGAGCTTAAAAAAAGCTTAAGTTTTTTCACAACCATAATGGTTATGGTCGAGATGAACGATTTGGAGGTCTTTCGACTCCGGAACTGCAATTTCTGATGAGTTCTGAGGTGAGACTTTGTTTAATTTGATTGGGCCGCAGCCCTATGAAATTGTTGTGGGAAAAGGGTGTCATTTTCTTGGAAACAACCGGGGGGGGAAGCATTATGCGAGAGTGGCTCACTTTAAAGAGGACCACCTGTTGTCTTGTGGGGGGAATTTCCATGCTTTTGTGTATGTATATAAGGATAAATTGGAAGAGGGTGTCCTAAAAGTTTTCATCCCAATTTGACGCGGTGCCCATTTGCCTAGTATTTTGTGGGCCACTAACGCGTATTATTTGCTTTTTCTTACTTAACTTTTTGGTGGGTGACGTTGGATTCAAACCTTGGACATTAGTGCCGTGGCCCTCACGCCCTAACCCAATATGACTTGAGACTCTTGCAATCACGCTTGAAAAAAGTACCATACTTGGTACTCATAGAATAGAGTATTTCAGGGATCTTAGGCACATGTAATTTATATAGATTTGGAGACATCGAAGAGTTCAATTTTGATTGGATGTCTAAGAGTACAGCTGGCAATGGTACCAGGCATGGTCTGGGTCACTCCTAGCTCTAGTCCCTATAGTGACGGTTGAGGCTCGGCCTAGTCCACACCGGTCCAAGGAGGCTTTGGCCCCGGCCTTATTAAGGCCTAACTGAGCCAAATATAATGGAAGACAATAAAGGAAAAAAGGAGCCCGGCCGACCCGAATCACGGCCTTGCCCTAGACCCTAGCCGGCCCTATCTTAGGCTGTGATAGCTAGCTCAGCCCTAGGGCTACGTTTTGTGGCTTAGGCTATAGTTTTTTAAAGTCGCGCTTGTTATTGGCTTATTGATACCTTTAACTATAACAGTGAAGATGTCAATGTCACACATTAATTATAACATAAAAAAATACATTTGGTTATAACTCCACATCAAAAATCGGAACTTCTCCGAAACGCATGTCCTATGCGCACGCAAACATGTGGAAATGTTTCCCCAATAGAATATGCCATTGGTCAATAATAACAACAACGAGAAATAATCTTTCATTATGATAGGTCAGCTTTTGCATATCGTACCCTCAACTTTCTCCATACAAGATCGGTGTCACACCAATGGACCATAGACCACAAGACAATAACATTGCTGTTTTTATTGATTAAAGTTGTTGGGTCATCCGAATGTGGATGTCATGTGTCATCCCAATCTCACCCTATCTTCTATCCTTTTGTTTTTTTTTATTTTTTTTTATTTTGCTCTCTATATCTTGGAAATATCCTCATGCATTGGACCTTTGTAGTCAAAACTGAATCAGTTCGCAAATTGGTTTGTCGGCCAATGCTCTTTGAATTTTTTTGTAAAGTATTTACTGGCAAAGATAAAAGTTTAGAAACAAAAAAGAAGACGGCAAAACAGTGGTTCAAATTTGATTAAGCATTATTATAAATTCATTATGTAAAGAAAGCTTGCAATGTGATGTAGCAGTAGCAGTAGGTGTAACAAACATTTTAGAAGGCTAACACATACAATCATTGTGACCGTTAACAGAAACCTTAAAAGAGATGATTGTAAATAAGGCGTATACTCTAAAAAATAGCGCTTTAAAAATTTGAATGGAGTTTCGACTGGGGTCCAATTCCAAGTCCCCCCAGTTCGACTGGGGTGATTTCGAGTTGGATAGAGCATATTTAACAAAAAAGTTAAAATAAGAGAAAATTGGGAGACATCGACAATCTTAAGGTATTCTGGCCCAAATCGCCAGCCTCCTGATCTGGTCCGGCTTGGGCTAGTCCCTACTGAAATATACGATTTATCAAAACACTGTTCTAAAATTTGGATGCCTCACGCTATAGATGGTATTCTAATGCTTGGATCATTTCAATCAGATTAACAGTGACTTGGCTGACATTAGGATATAGGACTTATAATGGACCTTGATTATCACATTCATATACTTTTTGCCATCTAATGAGCATCGAGAATCTCCATAACATTGATGTGAAGAAATTCCTATTATCACAAAGTTTACACAAATGACCTAAGGAGCAAACAGAAGTTGAAAGAAAAAACAAACCCTTTTCTACTCGCTTTTTTTTTTTTTCATGATGTTTAAGGTATCTTGGCAGTCTAGCTGCAAAAAATGATTTTCTGTAAGGAGATTTACACCAATTACAAATGATATTTAAAGAAGGAGAGGGAAATTAAATAAGTAGGTAGTTCAACTATGTGAGCATTTCTTGCTAAATAAAACATGTCCTTGACCTAATCCTCGCATTACAAACTAATTGGTGAGCATTTAAAGAGATAATTGTCAAATGCTTCCATTGAACATTACTAATTGTGTGTTATAAGAGCACAATAACCTTGCTATACAGTGACACATAAATCAGCGGAGTGGTTTAAGGAGGGTGAGGACCTTAAACGTATCTGTTTGAGTAAGGGAGGTGGGCTATGTTGGGCAAGCTACTAATGTAAAAGTTTATCAAAACTTTCATAAATCCTAACCGATTCCAAATAATTGGAAAAAGATTTTCATGATGATGACGACGCTCACATAAACTGGCAAACATTGATCTCTATAGACAATTAATGGTCGAAATAGTTTTAAACATCTATTCTACTTGAATAAGGAGGAGAAAGCACTTAGTGTGACACCATGATGCATAGGCAATTTGTCAGTGTTAGGGAAAGTTATTCAAGTGCTCTCCACCATTGATTGCCCCGCCCACATACCATTGGAAGCCTTGCTTATCGCCGCCCCACTTCTGTCACTATGTCTGGTGGTGTAAACAGGTCAGTTCGGATCGGATTGTTCTTATTGTTGAGGTCGACCTGACCCAGCCCATTGGTCTACTTGGTTTTGGGCCAAGCCAATTGGCTGGTTAGTCGAACCACTGAGAAATCCACTGACAGGATCCACCCAACCCAATTATCACGGGTTGGTGGGTCTACCACCCTCTCTGCGGTCGGCCAGGATCGATTACCAGCGCTTGGCAACCTCAAAGAATTAATTCCATTATCAACCTTGGCAACAACTTCATAGAGCATTCAAGGAGAGGAATTGACATCCATTGCAGGTCAACATTATAAAAACATGAGATTGATCAAAACACACTTCAAGAATCCCTTAAAAAAAATATGTAAAATAAACACGATTAATACTTGAACTGCTGAAAATGTTAAAATAATGCCTAGCCCTTATTGAAAAATAATAAAACCGCATCTCACAAAAAATTCTACGGTGTCAAAGAAAAATTCTACGGTGTTAAAGAACCTTAAAATTGTGAAAAAGTAAGATTTCAAGCTCTATAAATAATATATATATTGTAACACATTATCTGAACCATCAATTTTATTTTTATCTAGGCCATCCATTGGGATATGCACTATTTTTTGAGTTATAAATTTCATTACTGTAGGTGGAAGTGTTTTCTGGCGAAGTTTTGACATAACACTTTAAGGTTTTTTTTCACAAGACCTGGTAAAACCTCTCTTTCAAATAATTAGTAGGTTAGATATTTACGTTATTTAAAAAAGAAAAGAAAAGAAAAGAAGGGCTGAATGGTTAGGTTCAATGTCCAGGAACAAGAAAGAGAGAGGAGAAAGTACAACATTTTATACAGTTTCAATTATCATTTGTACATTTTCTTCGCTTAATTTCTCCGGTACTAAAGAAAAAGAACAAAAACTAAAGGCATCACAGCCATCGATCTACGTCCCAACTCTACGACATGTACACGTGTACGGTTGCGCTCTTCTTGCCCATGCAAATCAAGCACCTCTCCAAACCCACTTCGCACCCCTCACAAACGCACAAATGCCTGCACGGCAGTACCACCACCCTCCTCTCCCTCGTCCCGCACGCCTTACACCTCGGCCCAACGGTAAACCCCCCATCTCCGTCCACCTCGTCATTGCCTTCACACCGGGATTCTGTGTCCCCGACGACGTCGTCGTCTGTCCGTCCGGCCATTGCCTCGTCAAGGTCACGGCGCAGCGCCACCACCGTCGCCTCGTTGCTCTTGGCGAGGCTCTGCCAAATTTGGCCTTCCATTTGGAGGATGTTTAATTTCTCCTCCAGTTCGGCATTTCGCCTTGAAATCTCCTCTATCTGCTCCTCCTTTCCTTTCATTATTTTGGCAACTGCTCTCTCCGCTAAAATCATCAGGTTTTGCCAATATATCCTCCTCTTTTGCTCTAATTTGAATCTCATTGTCTCCGTCTGCAATATTTATCAAAATATCCATAAGAGATGTACTATTTAACATTTTACTCCTTTATAATTATTCCAACTCAAGATTATATAGTTTTTATGAGTATTTTTGAAATTATTTAGAGCTATGGATAATAAGGTGTTAAATTGTTCAAAGAGGAAATGTTTTTGGTGAAATTCAGATACTAATTCGCCTTTAAACTGGGACAAAAATTGGACAGAATTTTAGAATCCGGAATTATATATAAAGATACCATTTACTTTTAATACAAAGAGATTGCAATTATTTATAACTAATGTGAAATCTAATAGTTTAGGTGCATCACAAAGATCAAAAAAATTTCTTTTAAATTTTGAGCTTGGTCAATAAATCAAATGTAATCATCCAATTTCACATTCAATGGTCATGATTAATTATAATCACCTTATATCAAAAATAAATATTCTCATTACATGTTTTCCCTTAAAATGAAGCACTGTGGTTATGACGGAAAATTGTGATTTCAAGAAGGTGAAATTATTATGTGACTAGTTGTGGGGAGTAGCCGACTAAGGCTGTATAGTGGCCTTTTTGTGTTAAAAAACAGAGGGGCAGTTTTGGAAGAGTGGCATATTGTGTCCTTCCACGAAGAGAACGAGGGCGATTAGAATTGAGGAAGAAAACTCTTTGTTTTGGAAGAGGGGTAGAATAGTCTTTGTGAAAGAAAAATAAAAGGGATAGGTCCTAAAACAGGGCATAATGGTCATTTTTTGCGGGGTATCACAGAATCTTGATGCATTAGAGTTCAAAAGGTTGCATGAAACCGAGAAGAACCCTTTTCCTCGCCTCGATGATTTCAATTTATTATTGGGATTGTATATTATGAGATCATTTATTTTTGGTATAAAAAAATCGGCCTTAATGATTTCAATTTATTATTAAGATTGTAAATTATGAGACCATTTTTTTTTGGTGTAAGAAAATTTGTAGTTACTTCTAACTACAAGATGAATTAGATGGTTTGAGAAGGATCATAGAAGTCAAAAAAAATTTCTTTGAAAGTTTTATTTGTCTAGTCAATACCATTCTTACCACCACAGATTTAAACTCTGAACTCTTACAACAACCGATTTAAAATATGAGGGATAAGAGTGATTCTGAGTTCTTTATATCCAAAGTACATCATTTATATATATATAGTATTTATGTTAGGACGTATTTGGTTCGTATGAAAATTTGATCGTTAAATATCTTCACATGAAAGAACTATTCTACATGATTTGGTACAAAAAATTATCACGCGACTGGTTTACTTTTTTGATAAACTTTTCTATTATGGACCAATTGGTATGAAAAAATTTTCAATACCTAATTACATAAAGAGTTCTTTCGTATGAAAATACTTTTACGAAAAAAAATTTCTTACGAAACAATGTGCCCTAAGAAAATTTAAAACAAATGTAGTAATCCAAAAAGGTACTTTTAAATGAGAACTACTAGAATTAAATATAGTAAATAAAAGTAAAAGGTCTTATTAAGGATAACAATCACATGATTAGGGTAAGTAATAAAGGAGGACAAAAAAGTGGGGTATATTTCCAAAAATTTGGTTTATTTGAATAAAAGAAATTGAAATAAACCCAAAAAAGAAACAAAGTAGAAATTACAGGAAAAATGCAAGTTAATAAACCAACAAAAAAAATAACAACAGTAATAATATTTAACAAAAACTTACATGGATAAGAAGAAGTCTTTCAATTTCTTGATGTTGCCCTTGAATTTTAGCATGAATTTCGGGATCGATAGTAACATTACTTGTACAGGATGAAGCACTAGACGTTTCCACCGTTGATCTAAATCCCGGGCAAATCCAACCGTCCATTGAGGCATGAACCAGATCTCCCTCTCTCCCTCTCTTTCTAGACCCATTAAAATTGCGAGGAATTAATTCGTTTTCTTGAAAGCTCTGGATCGAATTAAACCCTGCAACAATAGAGCCACAAGTGTGAAAAAAAAAGAAGAGCAAAAAATGCAGATAAATCAATAAATAAACAGCAAATGGCAATTTTCTTCTAAGAAATTGGTTCAAATGTACCTGGATTGTATAATGGAGTGAGATTTTGAGATGGATTCTGAAGAAGCTGAAAAGGATCAGAGAAAGGGAGGTTGTAGAAGGGATTTAGAGTTTCCGCCATTAAAGGAGAGGGAGAAGCTTCAAAGAACATGGAAAATTGAAGGAAATGGAGGTGAATCTGAAGTATAGATGGAGTTTTCTTTCAGGAAGATTGGGATGAGGCGCAAACGCTTTTCGCTTTCAGAGGGCCGGTAAAATCTTGAAAAAACATGGAAAATTGCAGGAAATTGCGTGGAATTACACTACTACAGTCTAGATTGAATCTTTTTGATGTTGATTAAGAAGAGGAATACAAGCCTTTCACCGTTAAAGGACTGGAAAGAGAATTTGAAATAATAGAAACTGGAAGGAAATGGAACCAGAATTACAGTCCAACTGAATTGCCTTCATCAGAGATCACATCAGCGATTTCAAACCACCATTAAAGGACACTTAAAAGCTTCACGGAGGGAAAATGGAAGGATTCATTGGCAAAATCTCAGTCTTCTTAAGCTTTCTTCGCAAGAAATACGACGCGTATTTGCGTTTCCGCCATTAAAGGACTGGTAGAAGTTTTATAGGAAACTGTCACAAAACTGGAGTCTAACTTCAAACTTCTAAAAAAGGGAGATGGGTAACGCCAACCATTAAAGGAGCTTCGCAGATAGATAAAAGGAACATGGGAGAGAGACTCCTTACAAAAAAAACAAGAATCTCCACCATTAAAACGTTACAGAGT